AGCGGTTCAACGGCAAGATTACCAAACAATCAAACACAATTTTAAAATAAAATTTTCTGATATAAAAATGAAAAATTACATTACGGTTGTTATTCAACCAATTATGATTAGATTAATTTTCATTAAAAGAATAAGAATTACAATTTAATATAGTTTGATTTGATTTAGAAATTAGAAACCAATAATTAATGTAAATAGATTACTTGATGGATATATGACATGATATAATCTGTTAAAAATATATGATATGATACTAGATAAATAGATAACAATAGATAACAGTAGATAAATAAATAAAAGTTTAATTCATACTAACGCTGCACCGCTTAGAAATTTCAAGAACAAGAAGACCCAATAAAGTGGCACCACCGATGCTAATAATTCGGAGACACCGTGTAGAAACAACGCCACCAATAAAGACATTCTTCGACCTTTGATAGCCGCATAACAACCCCATATATACGAACCGGCTAACATACCTATAAATTGATAATCAATATTACATTAACACAGATTTTTATCCAAAGAAAACCAGTTGTACATATTATGAAATAAGAAGATTAGCATCCTGACATTTAAACTCGTTTGTAATAGTCAATGTGTCATGAGTTGTTTTTCAGTCAAGAATTCCTTTTGATATGAAATTGAATATTCTTTTCGGCTTCCCCCACCCCGGGCGCAGGCATGCGCGTACGCATAAACTTTTACCTTCGTATTCTTATTTTTATAACATCTTATTTTAACGATATTTTAACTAGTATTGCATAGAAGTTTATTACCATAGCAATTGTGTGGAAATCTTAGACGAGAGAAGAATCATGTTCTAATAGAATGGAGGCTTCCAAAGCTTAATTAGTCGCATACGATAGGTGTCATGTATTCGATTGCAGTAATTCACTAATCGCGTCTCTCGTTAAGGCGCTAATGAATAGGTTAGTTGTTTTTACATTGTTGTTGGAAACACGTGTTTAATTAATTAGTTTACTTCTTTTAGCACTTCATTCTCTTGGGACATAAAAATATTTGCGACATGCAACGAATTGATACTCTGTGGAAATAGCGAAAAAAATTGTAGGTGATGAAAATATAAATTTAATGGTATATTTTTTTACAAACACCTACAGCTGCGAAAAAATATAAATCTTTGATTTTCAGCGGCCTGAAATTACTCGTAAATATTGACACGATAACAGGGTAAAATTAAGGAATTTAAGTACACGTATAACCTCATTTTCGAAATATATTTTTTAAGAAGTTAACACCGTATATGGACACTGCGACGGTACGTCCCTGCTTTTGGCGCATCACAATTCATTTAATTTATGTCGCATTCCATTTAAAGAGCATTGCCGTCTCGACGCTTTTGCACAAAGGTTTTCTTTACCAAAGCTCATCCACACCGAGATGAATCAAGATTATTTTGTGCATAGTCTTTCTTTGTAAAAATCGATAAATAAACTACTAACCATCTATCATAAAAAAAGAACAGATAGGAAACAACGTGAAAAATGAACAAGCAGCGTTAAATGTAATAAATAAGTAAAAAAATATTCAATTTTTGGCAACATTTATCTCAAAAAATTTTTTTCCAGTGACCAAGATTTGAATAACTGTTATTGAAGCATAAACAACGGGAGTGAGAATTGAATATCAAATATAACTTGAAGTTCTGCAAGGATCTTTATGTAAGTCGAAAGGAACGTGGTCTGATGTTCTGTTCGAGCTAAGCAAAACACCATAGAGTTACTATAATACCGAGTAGAAGTTAGACCGATCCGGGGGCGTATACGAGCCACGGAAAGGCACGCGAGAAATTTTAATTCTAATGATAAGGTGAACGCAACACGAGTCCACTAGTCTCATATTTGATAGAGATATTGAAAAGATACTGACTTGAACACAGAACAATTTTTGTTTATGCGAAGCAAACACGTTAAAACGCGCATAATGATATGGATATAAATAGCTGTTGAAAGATATTTTTTTAATAAAGTAAAGTATCACAGAATAGTGAATATTAACAAAACTTTTGATGCATATGAAAACGAAAGGGGTTAATGAGCACATTGGTATGCTGAAAGAAGTACCATTTAAAATATTAATATTATTAGAGAGTTACCTAACATGGGGGCAGCACTCAGACGTCCTTTGTCCATCGTGGTCATTCTGAAGTCGCATGCTGCAGATGGTAATATAAATCCGATGCTCGTTATGCTGAATGCTACGTTCATAAAGATCATACTGCAGACGGCCATAACCTTAAGGTTAAATTTGCCAAATCCTATGGAGAGAAATCAGAAACCAAATGTTAGAATGAATCATCTTTTTTCAAGAACTTCAGCAAACGAGAAATAAGAGAATGAATTAAAAAGAGGCGAAACTGAATGCATATAAAATTAAAAAAAAAGAAATAAAGAAAGATTATTGCAATTATACAGGGTCACTAATAACTCCATATCATATTAGTCAACATTTCAGAGAAGTCCTTGTCAAGATTAAAAAGATTTCATTGATAAAGAAAAGGATAGGTAGTAAATAAATTAGGTTGAAAAAAGCATTGTTAATTAATTCATCTCTCCCCTTCACGGTTGTTACATCAAAAGTATAAGGAATACCTGTTTGGTCGACGGCATCTTGAGCCACGCTTTCCGCCGTTTGCTTGGTGGCTGCGAATACGAGAAAATAACGTGGTTACTCATAAAAAGAGAAACAGAGACGTAGAGCGAAAAAAGAGGAAGAAGGAAAGAGAAACTGTACAGGCTGACGTGAAAGTCAGACCCGCCACCGTGCTCGCATATGTTCATTCCGAGAATAAAAACATTCTTCGAACGTGCAACGTCCTGAGCAATCCGTCGGGAACAAAAGCGAACGAACTTTGTCTCAGTGGAAGCTTCTCCTTATTATAAGTGGGCTAAGAATCATAACAGCGTATATCAGTCATGGTAGCACGTCACCACTAACATTTTTCACAAGGCGTCTTTCCATGTTTATTAGAAAAGGCTCCATATAACAGAGTAACTCAAAATCACAGTCTATTTTGAGAAGTAATAGAATCTTTAAGAAAACAATTACAAAACGTAATAGCTTACATATAAAATACACGCTTCCATTTAAATCTTTTAAAATATAATTTTAATAATTTTTCTAAGATAACCAAATTTTCCTCTTTTTTCAGATAATGACCCTGTAAAGATTATATTCCACTATGATGACCCTATAAAGAATAGTAGTGCAAGACAAAAGACATAAAGAACAAGAAACTGAAGCAAAAATTGAAAAAATTTCATAAGACTAGAAATTATGCAATTTGCGACTTAATAAACGGATTCACTAGGACTGGATTAACTGGATTTGTGCACGACTAAATATTTAAAACTACGTTCTGCAAAACACCTGGTCGCTTCAAGATGTTCTAGAGATATCGATACTCGACATGTAAAATCTAATAACTAATCTGCAGGCCATATGCGACTGTACATTAAACACATGTGTTCTGTTTTGGTATACACACACCTTCGTTTTTTATAATTGTCTTTCTAAATCTCCATACATTTTGTGAAATTATGGAAATATATTGCGGCATTAAATGAAACTAAATTAATGAAAATTTTAGAAATTGTAAAAGACGAGTAGTTTCACAATTTTGACTTGCACCGTTATGATTCAGAACCTATCAAATCATTCGTTTCATGGCGGTATATTTTACCCTGTTACCCGTTTACATTGTATTTCTTTGTTCTGTCTATACAATGAAATACTCGTCACCGTTGACTCATAACCTGGCCCCCTATCGACAATTACCTCTACTTTTCTATTTAAAATGCTCATTGTACTGAATTAAACTGTTATACGTGATTATCTGCTTTGTTTCCGAGGTTTTTGTTTGAAATTTTGGATTACGATTGAAATAAAGTTCCGTTTAGTTCTAAGTATTATCACTATTGATAATTACTCATACTTTAATTCGGATTTCAAAACAAGGTAAGAATGGTTTCATGTTATATTTTAGTTAGATATTGGTTTAGGTTCGATCTATATTTGGATTAGGTCCAAGTTCGACTTTAATGGTGATTATTCAATCTTTTATTCGACATCATTAAACAATAAAAAGTTTTGAAATCAATTTGAATTAATTTTCAATGAATCTACCTTTGAGATATTTTGTTTTAGATTAAGTTTGAAGTAATTTTAATTAGGTTTGAGTTAAGCCAACATTGATGAGTTGTTTGTTTAAAATCTTGATAGGTTTTGAGTGGTTTTAGATGAAATTTATGTCACTTACAGAATCACTATTAATAACCTCCTAGGTAATTATCCTTTCTATTTTGTATTACGATATATCGAGAATAGTTCTTGATAAATGTCATTAAATTCTGTTGTTTTTCTTTAGCAAGATAAATGATTTGTATTTATATTATATAAATTACGTTATTAATAGTGCAATAAAGAAATCAAAAGGAAACAATGTACGCAATGCCAGTGAATTCAGTTGTCGCAGAACATTGATTTCTATAATAGAAATTTCTCTCCCATATCATGCATCGCAATGCAGAAAACATCTTCGTATCTCGACTCTTTCGTTTGCCTGACCACGCCAACGTAACAACGAAATTATTCGTGTATTCAATATGCATAAAACTCCCTGAAACATTAACGATTGACTTATCAAGGTTTAAAAAATACTAAATTATTAATTAATCCGAATTTCATGTTAGAAATTCAACAAACCAGGTATCATAAATTAGCATTTATACATATTTTCAGATATTCTTACCTTGTATGACGTTATCTAACCTACACTAACGATAAAAATTGTTACTAAAATAAAGAGAGCACAAAAGTTGTTACTAAAATAAAAATTACTTAAGAACAAAGAAAGCATTAAAATAATATTGATTAACAAAAAATTTAGTTTTACGAATTAATAATCTATTACAAATTCTTGATATTCTTCGTTTTATAAGTTTTCTAAATAATTACACAATAATGTAAAGCTTCTCATATATAATTTCATGATTATAATATTTTTTCCTTCACCGCAAATTATCTTATAAATTTTTCGCGATAATCGATCAAAAGGCTTGCCTTATCTTCTTTCATAAATGTATTACTAACAGCCAATGAACAAAACAACTACCGAAATCAAGTTCATTGTATCGTTACATTAATATTTACGTATCGTACAATACGAATTATAAATAATCGTTAATCATCGGCACCAACGATACTTGGCATATTTTTATCACAACCAAGCCTTTAGGAATTATATACTCTGCTTCCGAGCATTATGTCGTTAGTGTACAAATCCACGACGCTTATTAACCCTATCCTTAAAAAAGCATACACATCCGCAGTAACCAGTCGTCGTTCATACTACCGTTTTCATCCGTTTCGCATTAATCGACCGTACAATCAAACGCATGGACCAGCTAAACCAGATCTACCGGTGCAATAATATTTTCTGCACGATAGGAATTATTCTTCTCACTTGACACACTCTAAAGACCTCATCTTTTTAAGCAGCACCCGACAGATGTTTCGAGATAATCACGTATGAATTTACGTCGCATCGAAACAATACGAACAAAGTCAGAGGAAAAAGAAACAAAGACACAAACGAACCACGCGAAGAAAGGGTTACCTTGTAGCGTGGAGACGGCGTCCGAGACTAGCGGGTCGGAGGCAGCCGGCTCGATCTCGAATCGAGCGATATCGCCCGACATCGTACGCGCGCGCAACTAACGCATCGCTGTACCGTCGTTGATCTCGCCGATGGTAGCGCGGTTATAACGCGGCCTTGCTCCACGCACGATACATCGACCACCGTCGGGTCTTGCTCGCCACGAAATCGGCCGACCGACTGCAACCGACTGCGCCGCCCCCTATAACGTCACCGACAGTAAACCTGCTCCCGTCTAGGCCTAGGCTTTTGCCGTCTCGATTATCGCGCCTGGGCTTTCGTGTTGTGAGAGCCCGACCAGTGCGTACTTCTTATCATTGCGAATGGATGGTTGCATACATTGAATGCACAGTATAAAGATTCTATAGCGAGGTCAAATTATGAGATTTATCAAGCGCTAAAAATTATAGGTATTTTAAACCCGAATTGAGTGGTAATTTTTTCTCCTAGATAAATCTAGATCAATTCTTCGCATTTCTTAGGAACACTTTTTAGGAATTTTGCATCACTTGCATATTATTTATTGTCTATGTATTCGATCTATTGGCATAGCCTATACGAGATTTAATAATAATATAAAAGAATAATAAATTGAGAGCCACCGTTTAAGACAATATTCTAATTACATGTCGAATCTTGAATACAACAACTTTCTAAAGATGAACACCTTCAAACAATAATGTCATTCACAGTTCCCTTTCATTCACTTCGGTATATATGCATTTGTATGTTTCTTAGTATATTATGACTTTTATAAAAAGCTTTCATATACCCTTATTTTTCCAGAAAACACCTTTCCCATCAGTAACTTCATGAACGTGCGAAATCCTAACAAGTGCCAAGTCACTTCACATCTTGGTATAACCGAAATATCATTTTACTTCGAGTAAAAATTAATTTTTTATTTTTATCTTATTATATATTATTATTTGTTAAAAGATACAAAAACAAAAACGATAGCTGCACAAGTAACATTGATTAAATTATTAAACTGACGTACCGTACGTGTTAGTAGTAAGAATGCATTAAAATATGCTTCGTGAACTGGTACAGTGTTTACGGTGTAATTTCATTGATAAATAATCTCAATTTCTTTTCTTACAAACAAATTGGTCTTTTAGTGAATGGCTTCGAACGCTGCGACAAACTCGACTTTGCACTTTTTGATGTATTAGGCGAACAGGTGTTATCGACGAAGGATTAAACGAGGAAGATTCCAAGAACGATGTCGATTATGAGAGTGGATGTTGAATAGAAACTTGAATCTCTTTGAATTTCGTCTTACGTAAGGAACAAATATACTTGGTTGGAAAACGATTTGAATGAGTATTAATGCACTGGTATATTAAATTTTCATCTACAGGGTGTTCTATGACTGATCACCATGTGATCACTATGCCGATCACCATGTTCGTAAGGACTATTCTAATACTTTAATATAAATAATATTTTAATGCACCGAATGAATTTTTAAGATTAATTAAAATACTTAGTAAATAGATAAATAATAATATTTATTACTTATATTTAGTATATTGAAATGTATCGATGAAATTAGCTCTAATTTTACTAACATACAATCATTTGTTATCCACTAATTTAACAAATTTGAAATTTTGTACGATAAGACACAGCAAATGTTATGGAACCTAACGAAAGTGGAGCTTTGATAATAGTGTTTCCTTATGCAAAATGTGATTTATTATGAATTTTTCCCTATGTGCAATTATGTAAATTATATATTCCTATTCAACGGTGGAATTTTGTATTGTGAAGATTGCGTGGTTCATTAATTTGTTAACTGGAGAAGACAAATTAACACATTTACTGCTTAAAAGTTTTTGTTACACTTAAAGTTTATAGTAGGTGTAATGAATTTTATAATATTTCTTATAAAATTCACTACGAAATTTTGCAACTTAAAAATAGATATAGTGTCATAGTTCCTTTTGAGTGTACAATAAAGAATAACAAAAACTGACTTAATAATGAACATATCAATTCTGAGTACCTGAGTAATTAATTTATTGAAGTAATAATTATCCCTTATGTGATAATTTCAAGATATACCTAATTTATTCGAATAATTTGTTTATTCAGATATTCTGGATAAACAAATGTTTTATTTTAGTCTTGCTCACTTACATTTCCAGGTTCGTAATAATAAATGAATAACACATTTTTTATAAAAACAAAAAACATCGAGATCAATTGGCAATCTTTCATGTTCATTTGCTTTGTTTTGTAAGCTTCAAAAGAATTCCTCGTTTTTTTCGACACATGGCAAAATTAAATTAGCATTATCGCTAATTAACTGTGTAGATAGCGTAGAAATTTGGTTACATGGTATATCGGTAATTGAGATAAACTAATCTGTTTAATTAAAGACTGGAAAAATTGCACGAGATAGAGATAAATAACTATTCGAAGTTCTTTTTTCAACTATTATGTGTAACGTATGAACCGAATAAATATTACATTCTCATAATTTTGACCAGCTTTTTAAATAAAGAATTCTTCTCATTCTCTTCTGAACCAATACATTTTTACAAACTTTTTTAAACAGAAGCAAAATCTTCCTTCTATCAGGCAAACATTAAGGAAGGTGACTTAAAAGATTTAAAAAAGTTTAAAGAAATACATTCATATTAAGAACCATACTTTTGCAGAAATGTTGTAACGTAAATTAATAAAAACAAATGATTGCTTAAATCTTTTTTAGCTTGAAAAGTATTTTTAATAAGTTCACAGCCACGAATGTAAATGTTACATTTTTGTTGTAAGCTACCGATAATTTTCGCTCAATTTTGCATAAGTAGTAGTTTTCTAATTTTCTTTGATGAAGGAGAACGTAAACTTTAATTTGTATTATTGAATTTATCTTGATACTATCTATAATACTTAATAGATAAGATTATATTTTGTCATTTAAAGAATCAAGGAAGTTCGTTATTTTTCTGAAAAACCTTTTGAATTTCTTAGTGAATTTTAGACAAAAAGATTATAAATTTTGATTAATAATTTCTTTTAAAAGAAATTTCAAACTATTTGTCAAATTTTTTAGTGAAAAGATCTACAATTTCACCATAAAATTTTATGAGGTAATTATATATTCTTTTGTAAAAAAAAGTAACAGATTTGGCAAATTTCTAACGTATTCCCATTTTTCTTTGTTTTATATATAATAGATTCTTAAGATCGATACTTGCTTCCAAGCAATCTTCTTCTCTCGTAATCGATTCTGTTTCAGTGACTTAAGCAAAAGGAAAGATAAAAACAATGGAAAACCTGTCTCGATGCTCGTTCACGCGCTTGAAAGGTGAAAAACAGCATAACGGAGTGCATAATGGATGCCTGCGTATGCATTAGGCTGCAGACTAAATCCTCGTTGTTTTATGGCTCTGGGAAATTCCACCTTGGAATTCAATCGATCACTTCCTTGTTCGTTTTGTACTGTTTCGATCAATTAACGTTATCCATGGCTCTAGATCATAGTTTATTAGTAATTTTTAAAAGTTACGATATGTGTTGCAATATAAAGGTCAATATTTAAATTCGTACTTATATTAAATAGACGTTATCTACACGATGTTTCACTTTAACGATTCGTACGATGGTTTACTCGTTTGTGATAACGTGGCGAAAAGAGCTGTTCATAAAAATTTATTTGTATTAAGTGGACAACGTGATATAACAAATAATTTTGCGTTCTTTGTAAAAGAGACAAGCATTTCGCATTAAATTTTCTAATAGAAATACATGACCCCTGTGATAAAAATTCTGTGCTGTTTTTAAATATAATGTTATTACGTAATGTGGGTTAATTATACTTTTGTTTGCTATTATGAAGTACTGAAGTACATAAGTGAGGTATTTGAAAATTAAAAAGTAGAAATCACCTGTTAAGATAGTATCTCCCGTTGATTAAACTAATAAATAAGTAAATTTGCTTAGTCACTCTATTTTAGAAGCATCATTTTATCAAGTGATTTATTGTTTGTACACAGAAAGATATAATTATATTTTTCTATGTACAAAAAGAAATGAACAATTGACCCTTTAAAAATAGCATAACAAATAAAATAATACTCTATACTATATTATAAATATAAAAAAGAACATTTTTTGACATTTTCTTTTTACAAAATAACGATTCTAAGTGAGCAACTTAATGCATTAATTTTGAAACGTTTGCACAATAAAACCAAAAGTCAAAATAAATATTTTTTAAATACCTCGGTACGATTTTCTTTGTTATATATACCTTTTATATAAAAGCATTTTAGTTTTATTAAAACATGTTTATCACAAACCCAAGTTAGAATAAAACAAAAATTTCTCGTATTCTAATTCCGTCTTACACCACATGTACTCTTACTCCTGGTGAAAAAAGAAATAATATTAATGAATCATTCACTTTATTATAAACGAATTTTGACAAAGGGAGAAAGAAGAAAAGAATCGGAAAACAAGCACTTCATTTACGATCTAATAACAGACGATAAATTTACCTGTTGAAAGTCTCTTCGCATGATTTAGACGCCTCGCAAGCATAATCGTTTAATAAATATATATCACGCTCATTAAGGAAAGCCCACTTCAGGTTTGCACCTCACCTTTATCGATCCTTATAAAGGCAATTAGAGTTGATAAACGTGTGCAGACATCGATTTTACAAATCTTCTACGCGAGTTCTAACGTCGTAACTATCACATATAATCATATGTTTTTCATATACAGTAACAAACATGGCGAGAATATGGCGGGAAAGGTACGGTTTTATCGGTGGCGCCCTTAACTTCTGTCGATCAAAATGTACATAGTTACAACGTGGTTTATTTCGCGACTGACTATTTTTGCACGCGTGTCACCGTGTTAAATCGAAACGGTGTCAAGGACACAACGATGTTGCTACTTTATAAACAATGATTCCTTGTTTGCTTATACTGCGTGATGAAAATGTACATAATTCATTTGAAGCTTTTTTTTTAAGTGTGTGTCAAATTTTAGGTTATGTAGTTACCGTTTGTTTTCGTTCGTTTCATTATTTTGTTTCTCCTTCTTTTTATTTAGAGAGTGTAATCTTTTATATCAATATAAAAAACGTTAATTCGCGTTAATCTATCCAGAGATTAGTTGAAATCGATCAATATTTTCATTTATTTTCTTCCTTTTTTTTAAATACAATCCCGGGATTAGTTTGTTCTGGAATTAATCCGAAAATGGTGATAAGTCAGGCATTTCTTGTGAACAATAAATTGTAAATAAGAAAAAGCATCGTTCGAAGAATGAAACACATGATTTGCATATGTGAAAATAACATTGTGGATA